CACACACACCTTTATGGGAATCGAACTCAAGTCTTCTGTGGGCGACGCGAAGAACCTGACCCCTATTCCATACACTTTTTGGGATTTAAAAAACATATATTTCACGATGATCGAAAATGTGATATCAGTAATTCTGAAACATTTGTAGAACTTACACTTTTGTATTCTATAGGCCTTGGGGAACTTCGGCCTATCTAGAATGCTAGCCCATGTAGAATTTTAGTACGTGTAAAATGGCAGCCTTGATCAAACCAAAGCCAGTATGTAGAACATATAATTTCGTCGAACTCAGTCCAGCTCAAATATAAACATAATATTTCGAACTTAAGTACAACGGCGTCTACAGTAAAGCTGTTCTGAGTTCGTTTACCCTGATTGGGACGGATTTAGGGGGTGGGGGTGGGGGTGATTTTATCGAGAATTTCGGTCTTTCTGCTGGGAGGATGTATCCCTTTCAGTCCAGGTAGGCCCTGACAAGTAACGTCGATGCCTTCCCTCTAAATGAGTTAAACTGTGTCGATCAGGGCGTAAAAAGACACCTACTAGGTAAAAAAAATAATAGTTAAAGCCCTTGTCGAATGTTAGTCTTTGCTGAACGTTATCTTTAATAGAAGAAAATGAAACTCGTCAAACAGAAATATGTTTCCTCTTGGACGTGATCTCTTCATCAGCACACATGCTCACGAGAGGAAAGAATGTTGATCAGAGTTACAATTGTGCTTTTTGAATGAAGTGGAAATACTTTATAAAAATATAGCAATTGTGAGATCAGAGAAGCAAATTTAAGCATGGAAATGTAACAAATTCAAAAAATCTCCCCGCTGCATCGAGTAAAATGTTTTTTGTTATATGGGATGACCAAGAAGAGATAATAAAAATCTATCCTTTTTTTCTCTGAATGTTCCGAAATTACCAAAACAATCAAACAAAAGTTATTTTAAAAAATACATTTTTAACTTTGCTGAGTATCTGTGAGATATATCTAAACAAATCACTGAAAACCTTATCGCTCACACCGGCCTTCTAAAGGCTCTTCGATATCAGCCCCTTTCACCTACTGTGTTCGTGCACTCAACCCAGACTCAAGATTTTGTTTCCCCAATTAAGTTATCAATTCATGGAGCACCAACAATTCAGACTAATTTGCCCACATCCACCCCCACCCCCACCCCACACCCAACTCCTTCCACCCTCGCCCCATTTCGTGTGGAAAACAATTATCAAATAATGGTGCTGAAGGTTTACAGGGTATCACATGGACTTAACTTACAATGTATCACAGAGGCTCAAAAGTTATATTATAATCCGGATTTTTAAAAAATATGACTCATAATGACGATTTCTCGAAATAAAAAAAGCAAAACAAAACTAATCAAAGAAACCAACTAATGACAAACTAATGACAAACAAACAAATTAGAAACATAACTAAATTATAGACAGAAATATGTTTTTGTTGATTCAATTTAACACAATAAGATAGCCTGTTCCCTCTCACAACAATATTCTTGATCAAATATCAATACATGTCTGGCATATTTGTCCGAAACGGAGTTTTGTTTCAAAACAAAATAATGACCTGCTCCGCAAATCCTTTCTCTGTTAATGGAATTCTTCCTCGTCCTCCTCGTCTTCCTCTCCGATGTGGAATACAGACACTGGTTTCTCCTCTCTGTCTTCGAACCCCGGCCCATTCAGAGCTTCCATCTCCGAGTCCATCACACTCATCTCTTTCATAATGTCTTTGCTGTAGAAGGAGATTTCCGGTCTCGTGCCGTGCGACAGGCCGTCAGGAAGAATGTACGAGATCTCATTCTGGTCCGAGAACGATACCTCCTTTTCGTGCTTTACTACATTACCATTTTGACGAGGACTGGATTGGCCAAGAGTTGTCCCACCAGCACCCCCATTCCCCGCACCACCTCCCCGACCATTGAATGTTTTCTGAAGGACGTTGTATGAATGAGGTCTAGTCAGTCCTTCGGCGTGGCCCAATCCAATTGCCTCACGCCCCACTCCGCCATCTTTGTCTTGGTAGGAGAGAGTGCGCCTGAGGACGTACTGTCGACCGTCACTCTTCACGATGCACTTCATGGGCAGTTTAAGGTGGTTCGGCACCCTCCGGCCCTGAGACTTGACACTCCCGCGTCGTTTGTCTTTGGCACAACATCTCTGAGCTTTGCGTCTGGCATACCGATAAAACGAAGTGCGCAAAATCTGATTTCTGATCCCGTAGATGGCCGCGTGGGTGAAGGGGGCAGCCAGAAACAACGTGGTTGCTATGGAAACGAACACAATATTGGCGTGCACGGCAAAGATGACTTCGTAGAGGATAATGACGGCGTACGGGAGGTAAGTTAGCACGAAAGAACCGATAAGCTGGAGTATTGTTCCCATGGCTTTTGTGCCTCTCATGGAGAGAGAGTTCTGTGTAGCCGGGGCAATAGGTGCCTGTATCACGCTCACCATTCGCAACATGGTGGCCGCTATACGACTGCTCTGGGTACGCGCTATACGGAAAATGTGTGCGTAACAGTAGATCATAAGACAGAAGGGGAAGATGAAAGACAAACAGACGAGCAGACAGGTGTACCAACGCCCGGACACACTGGCGGAGTTCACGCCACAGATGCCCATTGATGGGTGGAAGGTGAACTCATTCCCCCCGAGAAGAGGGGGCAGGGAGAGGAGGAGGCCACATAGCCACAGCGCGGAGAAGCTGGGCAACATCTTGCGCACAGTGGCCGTCAAAGAATGGTGGAGAGGTGAGGCGATAGTCTGGTACTTGTCCCAGCTCAGTGCTGCAATCGTCCACACCGACACACTGGTAAACACACACGTAACGTAAGCGTAAGTCTGGCACATCGGGGCGCCGCCGACCCACTGGCCCTGTAGAAGGACAGAAAAAGGTCACTGAGCAAAATAGTATTAATAAAAAACGAGGTCTTAGGCATGCAAAGTATGAGTTAAGGTCAGAGGTCTAAGTGTTCTGTTTTTCCCAAAATTGGGATTACAAACGGGCCATCTACAAGACTGGATGAGTTCGTGAGCTATGAATATAATGACGTCATCAGTGCCGCTGAGTGGTTAATGAGCTCAGACCAAAGGCTGAAAACTCCCGTGAAGAGTGTCAGTAATACGGTGTTTATGAGGCTGGTTACTGAGGTGTGTGCTGTGTGGAAGTGTGTTACGACTTTGGGTTTAGTCTGCTGCGGATCGGGCACGTGTTCGCTACGTCCTGAGAGAGTATAGCGGGATTTATTTAGTCCACATATTAAGACATCTCTCCAAAATGTCAAGTGCTTGCCTTGGAACCTAAATTAGCAGTTTTCTAGTGCAATGAACTCCCTTCACCTATTCGAAAGTCGAAGATGACGTCATCATCTAGCACTGTATATGCCAAAGACGTTGGAGTGTTCTTATCTTTCACTGAAGGAAGAGCATTGTGCATAGTAGGAGTTGAAGTGCAACTGTTGCCGACACTAATTTAATATTCAGTGACGTCCAAAAGAAACTGGAAAATGTCATCACCGAATCATAGTGTTAAAGCCTTGCACTACCAACTCATGCAGCATACCAATTCAAAACTACATAAATTCTGCATCATCTTGTGAGGGTCGACCGAGATATGGTCACTCAAAATTGAACTTAAAAATCAGACTTTTGCAAAATTATTGTGCGAAGTAATAAACAAAAATTCTTTAAAGTGTGTTCGCTCGTGTTTTGAGGTGCATCGACATCGATTGAATGGACAAGTATTGAATATCAGATGAATCGAGAGAATTATTGTCTCTTTAAATAAACAGCACCTTGTGATAATATTTTCCAAAAGATTGAAAAAACTGAGTAGTCTCAAATACCACACAAAACCAGGACTTATTAACATTACATGACAATGCTTATTATTTGTATTTTTTCCGCACGAACACGAAACCTCTTTGCATATGGACTGTGTTAGTTAGCTTTTGAACATGATCATCTGTCACCGAGGAAAAGAGGCTATGAAACTGCCATGGTTTGGAGTGGTCTGAGGTGGAATGAACCTACTCGTGAAAATCACCGGAAGGCTTGGTTTAGTGGACAACATCGCGCTAGTGCTGGAACGTCTTGTATTACTCATATTTTCGTCAATGTGTCACTCCGTAGATATCTTCACGCATTATCAAGCACTTTCTCACAGGCTCACTGCCACTAGGCAATTCTTGGAAAACCAAAATCATACCAACGTTGGAGTGGTCACCAATAAATAGCCCCGATATATCCTACAGGACCTGGTATGTGAAGCCCCATGGCACAGCAGCTGAAGACTGTGCCCTTAATTCAGACCCTTGTTTGAGACTCTCTGTGACATGTGGAATAAACTGGCAAATAATTATTTTATTATGTTCACAATTTCATAGATTCCATGCCCAAAGGTTTCGTGCTCTACACAAAACCAGTGACTTCTAAACAAAATAATAATGAGCACATTTAATTTTAAGTCCTGGTTTTGCGTGATATATGCTTTTCAGTATGTTTGAAACTCGTAATAAAATACTGTTTATTGCAAAGACAAAGTTCTCCATCCATTTGATATGTAACGTATGTCCATTCTATCAATAATAATGCACCTCAAAAAACGCACGAACACACTTTTACCTTTCTTTGATTTCACTCAATTTTGCCCGCCTAGTCTGATAAGGTCAGTTTTGAGCGACCATATCTCGGAAATGTCAATGTGTTAGCTGGTGCAGAATTTATTTAACTTTATATTGGTACACTGCTTGAATTTGGAATGGGTAGTGAAAGGCTTTAACATGATGACTGGGTGATCACATTTTCAAGTTTCTTTTTTTGACGCCACTATATATAACATCAGGTATGCAGATGACACGGTTTTGATAGCAGGCTCCGAAAAGGACCTTCAAATGCTTCTGGATACTGTTGTAAAAGAAAGTGAACGTAAAGGATTATTGTTGAATGTAAAGAAAACAGAATGCATGGTAATATCCAAAAAAGCAGCAAATCCTAGTTGTAATCTCATTAGCAAAGGCGAAAAGATCAAACAAGTCCAACAGTTTAAATATCTAGGATATATGATAACATCTGACGCCAAATCTTCCGCAGAAATAAAAAGGAGAACTGCAATGGCTAAGGCTAGTTGCAATAAAATGAGCCCAATCCTGAAAAATAGAAACATATCAATGAACACCAAAATGAAAGTCCTGAAATGCTATGTTTGGTCAACCCTTCTATATGGCTGTGAATGCTGGACAATCACTAAAGACAGTGAAAATAAAATAGAGGCAACAGAAATGTGGTTTCTTAGGAGACTGGTAAGAGTATCGTGGAAGGAAAAGAAATCAAATGAGGTAGTGCTTGATGAAGCCCACGTGGGACGCTCAATGTTAAAAACAATCAGGAAACGACAAATGCAGTTTTTGGGACACCTGAATAGACATAAGGGTCTTGAACATCTAGCTCTCACTGGCAAAATTGAGGGCAAGCGAGGCAGAGGTAGGCCCAGAACAACATACTTAGGGAACCTAAACAAATGGGTAACAGGGAAAGATCAGGGAAACGTAGCTTTTCTGAGAGCATCCGAGCAAAGGAATGAATGGAAAATCATGATCGCCGATGTCTGTCGCAGATCTGGCACTGGATGATGGTGATGTATATAAACAATTCGCACACGGTATTTGAAGAGAGAATAGTGACTTCACGATTCGAAGCGTCGTTGAAGTTTCGTTTCGTTGAAATCGTACAGCATCTCGCTAGTTTGAATGGCGTAAAAAGCTAGTTATCTGTCTTGTTACATTGTGCTGACACTCAACGCACTAGAAGGTACTAGAAGCACAACGCACTAGAAGGTACTAGTAGGAACTCTATCAGTCCGAGTTGGCACCTACCTCCTAAATGAACTCAAATGTGTTTTTTAAGGGGGGGGGGTAGACACACACACACAAACACACCCAGCCACACGCACACACACACCTACGCACACAATGTGTGTGTGTGTGTGTGTGTGTGTGTGTGTGTGTGTGTGTGTGTGTGTGTGTGTAGGTGTGTGTGTGTATGTGTGTGTGTAGTCCCCCCACCCCCTTAACAAACACATTTGAGTTCATTTAGGAGGTAGGTGCCAACCCAGACTGATAGAGATACAACATCCAAACACAAACATTGAGTTTCCTCGCATTCAGACCAAAGGTCTTTCGTCGTCACACGGACGGATCAGTTTTTTCACCCGTTCCTATTCCTAACAGATTGACGCCATCTACTTTTAAAACATTGTGCAAGACGGACCAAATATCTATTCTTACCTCACTTTCAAACCAGCGCAGGCAAGATTACTGGCAAAACGTGTGTTATAGAAAAAAGGCAAGCTCTTTGTTATATTTCGCATGTATGTCCTAACCTACGGCTTTAATTCGGAATGAAAGACGTCTTTCAGATATTTCCATAAACTGCATAGATCTAGGACACTTTACCTTATACATACGGAGTGTGTTGCAGATTCAATTTTCAACAACAAAAAAAAAAGTCTACGGCCAAGAATAATTCTTAGTCCTTCACCCTTCGTCTCACCCTCATCCCACCCATCATCTCACCCTCATCCCACCCATCATCTCACCCTCATCCCACCCTCATCTCATCCTCACACCACTCCTATCCCGCCTTCTACGCATCCTCACCCCGCACTCAACTCACTCCCCCCAC